AGCGGAGCTTGCATTTTGCTTGACGCAAGCGTTCCAGGATGGAAATATTTTAGGCCCATTGTCCTTGCTTCCAAGAACGTACAGGCTGGGCCTTCATAGGCCTACACATTGTGGATACAGGTCCATTTAGAACTGGGCCTAGTTCGGTTCAGGAGACTTCTTACCCAGCCCAAGCCCAAGAGCGATGGCGGGAAGCGGGCAGGAAACGGCGGGAAAGCGCCGCCGCTAGTGGCGCCAAAACCCCCAGCCATTATAACACCCCGCCCCTCAGTCCTCTTCGTCCCCTCGCCTGCCCACCTCCCCCGCCGTTGCTCCCGAGTCCCAAACCCCAGAGGCCAGCGCGAGAGAAGAGAGAGAGGGAGATGGTGGGGCCACAGTACGATCTCGTCGGGAACCCATTGGGCGCGGTGCGCGCCACCTTCGAGAGGACGGCCGCCGCCGCCGCGGCGGAGTCCGGTGGAGCCGACCCTGTGGCGGCGTTCCGGGGCAAGGACTGGGGCCCCGGCGACCTCTTCCGCTCCTTCCTCTTCGAGCAAGACGGCCTTGCCAAGGTGAAGGATCAGCCCTTGCCCTTTCTGTTTTTGATTTTTGTGTTTTTCCCGGTTACTTTACACTGGTTTACCCATGGATCTGGGTGGCGATTCAAGATATGGATTGACTAGTCGCATAAATTGAGTCATTTAATTTCAATTAATCAATAATCTGCACAAATAAGAACATGCGTTAGGAACTTCTGCTTTCATTTTCATATTCTGAGGAGGAGTAAAGGGTCTCTTTTTGCTGCACGCATTTTCGTATCGTGTTTCTAAGCGAGGCTTCTAATGCCAAAATAAAAACTATTCCAGGTTCCGGTGTTGGATGCATCAAATCTTGGATTGATCAAACCAAACACCCTGGTCCGGTACCGGGGAATGGTTCAGGATATGCTTGGGAATGAGTACTACATTGGTGCTTTCAAGGTAATGGACTGAGGCTCATAAACTCTGGCAAAAACTGCCTTTAGTGCCTGCTAAGCTTATTTTACTGTATCATCTATGTAGGATGGGTCAACTTGGAGGACAAATAAGTACACTGACTTCTCACCGTTCTCAATGCCACATCCTTGTGATTCACATCTTTGGGAGCGTCATCTCTTCCACTGTGTGCCTGTATGTTACTGCTTCCATGGCATTTGTTTTTCATTCTGTAACCTTAAAGGTTTTTTTTTATCAGCGCACCAGCAGATGGAAATGAGAATTCACCAGGATTTGTAATTGGTGTATTACAGGCACCTGGACAAAATTCTTGGACACTGGAGTCTTCACCAGGACCTGATGTCCGCAGGATGTCAAACTGCTTGGCACCTGAATTAAGAGAGAAAAGGAAGAGAGATGGGGATGATGATGCTATGGATGTATGTTTTTTTTACATGTTTCCTGCAAATAAAATGCAGCTATTATTCCTGACACCCACTGTTGAAGTGTTGACATTTAGTGTATTTCTTTCTTTCGACAGGTTTCAGAAAATGGGCACGGAGAGTCTTCATTCTGCAAGAAGCCGGTAAGAGTTGACAATTATTTGATTTCAGTTTCACTATTAAGGGTAAATACTAAATGGTCATGTTTGTCTCATGAAGCATATATTCATACTTACTTTCTTATATGTTGATGTGCACACGCCTGAATCTCATAAATGTATATGTATCAGTTTCTTGCTTGTTTTTTTTGTATTTGGAAGCTTCATCTGACAATTCCCCTGAATATGTCATCCTGTAATTTTCTACTCTGAATATAGGCAGGTATCCTGATAAATTAGGATAGTTGATAACCTGATTTATTTATGCATACCTGCTTATTTTCCTTCTAACATTGTGAAGAATTATATGAACCGGCTATTAATCTGATTTAATCTCTATTCTCTTTGCAGAAGGAAGGCGATGTTCATGTCTCATCCAGTTCAACTGAAGTGGCAGGAACTGTTCCAGAGATGAATGGAGGCGATCATCATATACCTGGAAGCTCATTTTCATGTCTAGTGAAGGTGATGACCTAGAATTTTGTGAATGAAATGCAAATGATCAGATTTATTTGGTTTTGTTTTAGTTATCGTATTTACGATTGACTCTTTTATATCTTTGTTGCAGATCTATGACATGCCTGAAAGTCAAGTGAAGCTAAATGATGTTATTGAGTTTATTGGTGTATATACATTTGACCCAGAACTTGCTGCTCCTAGTGACAACCCAGATGATATAATGTTAGACCTCATGGAAGATGTAACAGTTCAGTTGCCTCCGAGCAAGGTATGCATATACATAGTACCTGAGGTCATGTATAACACGGGAAAATGTTAGTTTATCTTTTGCTATTTTTTTCCTTAACTTTTGATTCCTTTAAATGATTATACAGGTGCCACGTCTTCACTGTTTGGTATGGAGAAAATTATCATCCCACGATTTTATTTCAAGGCCTGTTGTTGAGGTAGATATTACCAAATTTGTTGTCATGAAATCTGTAGTGTGTTTGCTACTTTCACCAGCTTTTACCCACTGACTAATAGAACTTATTCTGTTCTTTGTTTTGGTCATGCAGCCTTCACCTAGCCTGTTAAAAGGCATTCGGCAATCTTTGCTCTCACACCTCACCCTCGTGTTAGGCAATGATGAACTTGCAGCCCAGTGCTTGCTGTTGCATCTTCTATCCAGAGTATGTTGTATTTCTAATCAAATGCCCTAACTATAAGCATATTTTAAAAGTTTGCTTTGAGATGATTCTTGCAAAGTCAATTCATATCCAATTACTAAATTATTGCTCATTAATCTTTATGCAGCTTCGCAATAGGGTGGACGTGGTCACTGTTGGCAGACTCTCCTTGAATTTCACTGGCTTCAACAAGGAAAGTTCTTCCATATTTGGGAATCAACTGTATTCTTTGATCCAGAAATTGGTGCCATATTCACAAGCCATACCTCTGTCAATTGACTATCTCAACTCAGCTACACTTCAACCTAGAAAGGACAACAAGTCAGGAAGGTGCGTGCTTTTAGATTGTCTATTAAGTATCAACAATATATAAGTATTATATTGACATGAACTTTCATTTAGAGCTAAAATGTAACCTATACTTACCCTAATATTTGCTGTAGGTTGGTCACAGGAGTTCTGCAGCTACCTCAAGGCACTCATCTGACCTTTGATGAGACTCTTCTGCAGACAGGGTCATTGACATCTAAAGGTGTGGAAAATACCATGCTGCTCAAGAATCTGATGGAGTCGCAGAAGGTAATGATCCTTGCAACATTGAACCTAATATTTTAATTCTAGTACTGGTGTTGCTGGCCTTAGGTTCAGTTGAACCGATTATCTGACATTTAAGTTTCTTTGAATTTACTTGCAGGTTGACTACGATTTTGAGTACTACAAGCTGGAAATGACAGCTGATGTGCAGCTACTTACTCTCTCTGAGGGAAAATCAAACATCCTTCCTTCAGACTTGGTAGTGCCTTTCCGGCCATCCTCTGTTCCCACAGTTAATGCAGGTGCTGAGGAAACTGAAAGTTGGAGGTGGTTTTTGTCCACAGTAAGGTCTCTTCCTCAGTCCACTGAACCTGAGACTTACCAGGTAAACACCTCTTACTCCATTCTCTATCTAGCAATGGCACTGATCCAAAACCTTGATATAATCTTAAAACCTCGAATATGATTGCAAAAGATGCATATTCGAATATCCAACTATACCACTTTGCATGACATGGTTAATGAGTTGTGTAATGTTTGCACTTCTTATTGCAGATGATTCAAGATGAAATGGTCAGTGCCATGCGCGATGATAGGAGCTTGGGTTGTTCTGAACTTAGCAGGTCTATATTAGTGCCACAGTTGAAAACACTAGCCTGGCTGTTTGGTCAGGAAGTCTATGAATCGTTTTTGAGCTCATTTCCCTTCCTCTGATCTGCAGATGGCTAACAATGGCACAAATAATGGCCTCGAGCTTTGGTGAGAGGAGTCTTTCTTTGGAGCACTGGCACATGGTGAAGGAGCTCGAGAGGCTTAGAAAGCAGAGGATGCAATGAGATGACGCATCATTAGCATGTGTTTTCACACTCTAATTGTTATGGTGGTATGCTGTTATGTGTATAGTACTAGATGTGTGAATCAAGACATGGATCCAAGCCATTTCTGTAACAACTAACAACTTCTACGATCCTATGGATGCTATGATGTCTGCTGTGCGTTTTCTTGCTCAAATTTGAAATGCACTCTGGGAACCATGGCATGTCGATCTCAGATCTGTGATTTCAGGATTGTAATGCAAAATTTCTCTGAATGGGACCACGTAATGGATGTTTTGAAATAAATCAAACCCATCTTTAACTCTGCAAGAATAAGGCTTTTCTAAGTACATTCGCTATGCGCCTAAATATGTTATGTACAGATACACTACAAAAGCCAAAACAAGCAAACCTTTGATTACTTCTAGCTGCAAAATTATAGCAAACAAACATTTTTTTTCCACCTAAATGTATGGAGTTTTTTGGTAGTGCAAGTTTATGAGTGCAATTGCTCAACATTTGTAATCGCTACATTCATTTTATTCAATGAAATGAACCTTCTCTGTATTTTAAATCTCATGTTTCATTATCTCAAAGCAAACTAAAAGTTTTCTTGTCACTTTAATGTTACAGACCATTTGCCAGAGCAACAGAGAAACAAGGAATTCGTAACTCTCAGTTGTTACAAACAATAGATGATACAGTAAAATGCAATAACTGCTTACAACCTCTCAAATCTAATGCCGAAGAGATAGGTGTAGCTGCTCAGTTGCTATATAGTTCACAGAAACACTGGATATGGCTCCAAATTTACACCAAAGATTTTTACACAGTCGAATTTTCACCAGTCAGTAGTGTTTCAGCAATAGAGATAGAGCGCTTAAAACAGTCATCTGACTTTCATCGTTTCTCCCCAATTTGATCTCCTAGGCAGATAAGCCGATAAGCCTTATTCTGATTTGCATCATCTTCACAAAGTGGCAGACAGAGGCATAGCTTCCATTGATGCTTGTGTGCCTGCTTTGCATGCATGTATCGCAGAGCAGACATCCGTTGTCTCAAGGAATTTCTGGCCCTTCACCAGAATCAGTGGGGTATACTTGAGGACCAGCCGCTTGCACTGGCAGGATGAAAAGAAGATTATTATGAACAGAAGATAACAGAGGTAGCAAACGTCAGATTTCAAAGAAAGAGACCCCCTGTTCTGTATATGAAATATTTGCACAAACCTGCAGGGTGCAGGCATCAGCAACAACCTAATTTAAGATACAGTTCTGTAAGTGTTAAAGTTCGAGAACAGCTAAGATGATTGAACTTGGTACATCTTTAGGCAGATTGGAGAAGACAGCTAAAATTAGGAAGCTGAGCTAGCTCAGTTGGTCGAGGGCGTGGATGTGTGCCTAGACCATCTAGGTTCAAGTCCTCGTTGATGTGAATATTTGGGTGCCTATTTTCTTCTTAAATAAAATGCCACCTAGGTTGGTCTAGTTTTTTGGGGGGCGAAAACAGAAAAGTACAGTAATCACCGAAGTATTTACTTTCTAAAGTGTTTAAACAGTTCAAGGTTTCTCATTTCTTACTGACTTTTGTTCTCAGATACCATTCAATATAGGCCGATGCACTCATAGCACATCTGAGATTCTTTTTCTTGAACTTAGCTCACCTGCTGTTCATAGTTCTGCGCCTTGCTGCATGTTTTGGTGAGTAGGTCGATTACTTCCAGCTGCAAAATTACAGCAAACAAAGGAAGACATTACAGTGAAGGGCGGGCCTGGTGCAAGCGGTAGAGTCTTACCGCCTGTGACACGAAGGTCCCGGGTTCGAGCCGCGGTCTCCTCGCATTGCACAGGCGAGGGTAAGGCTTGCCACTGACACCCTTCCCCAGACCCCGCACAGAGCGGGAGCTCTCTGCACTGGGTACGCCCTTTAAAGGAAGACATTACAATATGTACAAAGAACAAAGCAGTACAACGCACAGAACGTTGGCGACGGAGAGTGAAAATATGGCTATTACCTGCGTGTTGGGATCTTTAAGCATGACAAGAATTTCAACAACAACATGGTGGCATAAACCACAAGTACCCTCTCGAGTGGGTAGGCTAATCTTCATCCCCTTCTTGCAGAGATGCATCGATTCACAGAACTTTTAAGGGGTAACCATGGAAACCTCGAGGAAGAAAAGGGGTACATAGTAGTCGACCAACGTGATGCACTGCAGCAGAGTGAATCATCAACACACCGATAGATTTAAGCAACTGAAAATGTGGTACCCAAGGCTGGATCACAAGCTACACATACCTGCTGCTTCAGAGGGGCAAGGCTTGCACATTCATGGTGTAGAATGCTAAGAATTTCAGTCCGTGTTTCGTTTTGTGTGAGATAGAAAAGTGCCTCAGTTGAGTACTGCTCACATAATTGACACAGCTTTCCACTGGATGCAGTTAGACCTAGTCCCTTGGCTGCATCAGGCAAGCTGCCCTGAGCTGAATTGAAGACAAAAGAAAAGATTGATCAGAAGTGCAAAACTTCAGAAGCTTGAGTTTCTATAAGGAATAGCAGCTAAGCTGAAGCTACACCCTCTACGGTGAGTAGAATTGATGGCTTAGACGTAATTGTTTTCTTTAACAGATCACAGGATTAAATGCAAATGCAAACCAAGAAGGAATTTAGGTAAACTAGTTGAAACTATCACTAGACTTGATAGTTATAACCTTATAGGTAGAAGACATTCAGAACAACACTTAGGATTTCATACGTTGTTGCACCTGATCTACTTATAGCAACAGAAAATTCACTGCTATGGATCAACAACATTCAACAATAAAGAAAAACAGAGAGAACGGAGCAAAAATCAATAGATTCAAAACTTACCCAAGATATTAAAATCTCTGCTCTCTGCAACCTCAGTTGATGAGGCTATAGCCAGTGCAAGCACAAACGCGAGCCTCGTTATTGAGCACATCGTACCTGCTTACCAGTTGGTCAGTTGACAGGAACAAAACTAGAAGAAAACTGTCGCAATGAAATCAGTGTGGCCGATGGATGCAGAAAAGCTGGCTAACTCAAGCTTCTCCATAAAGCCAAAAGGTAAAAAGACAAAAAAAACATGAAATATATCCTAACAGATCAGTAAAAGTTTCAGATTCAGTCAGCCCAACGTAACGGCAGAACTCAGTTGGCTTCAAGATGTAGCTATCTCAGCACAGAGCATGAGCTAGCCCTCCGCATCCACATTCCAGGCAACAGATTCGCGAGATTCAGCTCGCTCCACGCCAGCAGAGCTGCTACTATTTTGGCATCACTCCAGATACGCCTTCGCAGCAGATTCGCAAAGCATTAGGCTCGCTTTGCCCTTTATTTTGCACCTTATTTTCTTTCCAAGTAGCTTCCGGTTCCGAAGAATTGGAGGTTCTTGGATTCAGGAACAGGGGTCGAACTGGACAGAGCGAATCAAGAACCGAGGGCGGCGGTAGTATAGATAGCACAGAAGAAGCTAATATGTATGGATGAGGATGAGGAAATCAAGATGCAGCTCACCTGGTTGACTCGGACTCTCCTCTCCTCCGCTGCCCTGTTCTTGGAATTGGAACGGGAGGGGGAAGGAGAGCTGCAGCTTGGAGTCTTCCGGGAGTTGTTAACTTGTTATTACTAATTTTCTTTGTTTTCTTAAAGCTTCAGGTTACATTAGGAGGATGCATCAGCATGTGAGATTAGAGAAGTGGGTGTGGCTGGGAAACCTTGAAGACTTCGCTTCTGTGGTGGCTAGGAGGGGGTAGAAAGGCATAATCTTTTCTTACAAGGTAAGGTTGAACTGATGGTTGCAGGGGGTGAGGCGAAAAAGACAGCAGTACATAGCAAATTTAGTTTTAGCTTAATAAACTTGCAGGAAAATTGCAGCGCAGACCATCAGTTGCTTCTTCTTTCCTTTGATAACCATTATTTGTCCGCTAGAGTTGATGCAAGGCAGAGTCTAATAATACAGGACTATAGGTGCATCAGTGCATGTCACAGTGCAATAGGGGATTCTTGACTTTTCATAATCCCTCTTTTTTTTCTCTGAACACTCCAGTTTCATTTTAGTGTTTTTGTGTTTAATATAGGCAAAGAATGGGCAACTTACCAACGAAAGAATATTCCAATGAAAATGTTTGGACACGGGCATCTGTGTCCCGTTGGACGCGGCTTCCCCCTCCGCTTCGCCCCTCTCTCTAAAATAAACTCTGCCTTGCCCGCCTCTCTCATAATAAAAAAATCCTGACTCCGCCTCGTGCCGTCGTGGCTTCACCACGCCTGTGGCCGTCTGCCCGCCCTAGTCCATCGCGCCACTGCACCATCCCCTGCGGCGCCTCCATTCCCTGCAGTGAGGAGGGGGAATCCTTTGCCGAGGTATGCTGCCAGCCGCCCCACTGACTGCAGGTGCTGCTGGAGCCGGTCGCCGGCGCCTCACCCTTCGCCTCCAAGGTCATGCACATGCTCGACGACTGCAGCGGCGCCTCCATCCCTGCTACGCCATACCGTGCTCCATCCTTCGCCGCGCCCAGGCCAGGCAACCAGGAGAGGGGGCCGTCGCTAGCCGGGCCCAGGCTAGGCACAGGCACAGCTAGCCGCTACCAAGCCATGCCACCATCCTCAGCCGTCGGTGGCCGGAACCGGCCGTTTCCCACTCTGCTCTGCGTCGCACGGAAGAAAGGGTGAAAAGCGCATGTTGCAAGCGTATATTTCAAGTGTTTCAGAATTTTCTAAGGTATGTTGCAAGTGTTTCAAATGGATGTTGTAAAAATAGATTGGGATGTTGTATAAGTTGCAATGGTTGTACACGTATGTTGCAAGCTTCTTTTCTCAATATTTCATATTTTTTCGACGTATGTTGCAAGTGTGTTTATCTAGATGTTGTATATGGTTTCACACCTATGTTGCAAGTATTTTATCTGGATGTTGCGTATGTTTGCAATTGTTTCAAGTGTTTTTCAGGTGTTTTTCGCAAGTGTTTCAGACGAATGGTCTAAATGTTTCATTGTCTTTAGACGTATGTTGCAATTGTTGTATCTGGATGTTTCAAAACTAGATCGGATGTTGCATCTCTCTCCTCGCCTTCTGCTGCCTCACCTCGGTGTCAGGCGTAGGAAGCAAGGGCAGGCGGAAATGGTCCCCGCTGGCGTGGGGCGGCCCCCATGTGCATGCGCGGGCGCGCGACAGCATGCAGTATGTGAAGTAGCAGTAGGAGGGCATGCAACATCAGTAGCAACAGGAGGCGTGGGCTGGCAGGCACAGCAAGCGTGGCAGACGCAGTGGCACGGGCATCCGGACGGAGGGCTAGCGTCCGGACGTCCAGACGTTAGCCACTCCAATATTCCAATGGTTTTGAGGTTAGCATCATTTGCAGATTGGCAGCCCCATTGCACCAATACTGACAGGCCACCAAATTAGGGGGGGCGGCAATAAATAAAAAATAAAGGCATCAATGGATGTATATTATTCTCCATAAGTGAAAAGGACAACACAAATTATATACATATTTCAAATCTAAAACAAAATATTAACGCGTGAAAGAAAAAAACTACCTGGACAGATTTCAAGTCTGTCTCCTTAACCACTCGGACATATTGATGTTTGCTGTGTGATTAAAGTTTCTAAATCTACTCTTATCAAAGCAGGAGAGTTTGGCCGCCAACCAGGGTGGCCACGTCGCCCGAATTGTTTCAGCCGTTCGATTATGCGATCCACGCTCCTTATTCACTCCACCGAAAGCTACAGTTTCCTCGGTTTCGGTTTCTGCTTCTGCTTCCCGACACTTCTCCTTCGTATTCCTCCCTCTTCCTCTCCCGAGCCCGACACCCTCCCGCGGACCGACGCCTGCGCCTCTGCCGCCTCCGTCCCCACCTTCCCTTCCTCTCTCTCCCTCTCTCCCGACGTGCCGGCGTGCCGGCCGGGCACCAGCGCCGCCGCCTCACCACGCCGCGCGCTGGCCGGCCGATGGCGCCCCCGGGTTGCGTTGTGCCTGCGGGCTGGCGGCCGCCGTCCCTAGCCCTGCCACAGGCCCAGCGGGCCTTGTTGGTAGCCGCCGGCACGGGTGCCTCCTACGTGGCTTGCTTATGCCGATTCGCGTCTCCTCCTCCTGTGCCCGACGAAACCCTAGCTACCTTTCTTCGTCTCTTCGCCATGGTTCCTGACGATGAAGGCTGCGCGTACAACAGGTCCGCCAATCTTGAAGGCACCACCCCCATGCCGTCCCTCTGCTCCATGACGGGGATGACCTTGACGACGGAATGACCTAGCGCCGATTCTGTAAGTTGTGTTACTCTGCTTCAGCCTCCCTTTTCTATTTTGGTACGATGTTCTTTGTCTCCTTTCTGGTTCCGCACAGACATAGGTACATGAACCAAGGGATGGGAGATGTGCCACATGGTCAAGAGACACAGCAGAGCAGACCACACGTGCAGTGACCAGGCATGGACTTCATGCACGTACCTACTAACTATGTTCTCTGTTTGAATTTGCGACCAATCTGCTTCGTTTATGGCCTTCTTGGTTCTATGTTGCAGGTTTGCGATCATACCACATTCATTCTCTATTATTGTCTGCACAGTAGGTATGGGACTAGATGAATTACATGAACCTGGGCCAGAGGTGAGCAGTTACTTGGTGGACCGTACAAATGATTCCTTTACACTATGGGTGCACTGATGCTTTGTATTGGTACGTGCGATACCTTTCCATGTGCTAAGAGAATAACCAATTTACGACATTGTTGTTCAAAGGTCTTCGCCTATTTTTTTGGCTTTTAAGTTGTACTTTTGTGGAACCACCCTTTGCTGCTATTGCTACTGTCGGGGTCTCAAATACAGATTGTGTGTTGCTTTTCTAGACTCTATTCGCAAATTTAGCCAATCTATTTATCCATGTCTTTTTTATTTGCAACCTTTTAGCAGGAGCATATCATAATTGTAGTAATTGCAAATTTTTTTCCAGAGCAACGTATTCTGGTTGAGCGAGGCAACATAGTTAGTCCTTAATCTTTGATTATAGTTCAGTGCTCCCCAATATGCATATGAACATAACTTTTGTACTGTAACAAAGTATTAGCCAGATAAAGTACAATGCATGTTTCTCGGCAGCATGGTTGTCCTTTACACAGGCCTCCTAAATCCTAATTACCTGCTAAAAAAGAGTTACGGTAAGAAGTTAGCAACTAAAGCAATGGCTGCTCAGTACAATCAAATGCACGCTGCCCTTCTTTGTGGCCTCTCTGTTAAGACCAGAATTTGCAATTGAGCATGCCTTGCTTTTATAGGCTTCTTCGATGTTCCTTTCCTCTATCTTTATTGGCTCCTGTGTGTGAAAGCTCTAGTTTGGTTTTGGTGAATTGATGAAACCTTAAGTGCTAACCTAGTTTATCAAGCGATCATGAGATAGGTAGCACATTCCAAATAGAGAAGCAAATGAAGATCATGACATGACAATGGTGATGCCATGGTGATGATCAAGTGTTTGGACTTGAAAAGAAGAAAGAGAAAAACAAAAGGCTCAAGGCAAAGGTATATTGTAGGAGCTATTTTGTTTTGGTGATCAAGACACTTAGAGAGTGTGATCACATTTAGGTTTGATAGCCGTACTATTAAGAGGAGTGAAACTCGTATCAGAATGCGGTTATCAAAGTGCCACTAGATGCTCTAACTCATTGCACATTCATTTAGGATCTAGTGAAGTGCTAACACCCTTGAAAATATTTGTGAAAATATGCTAACACATGTGCACAAGGTGATACACTTGGTGGTTGGCACATTTGAGCAAGGGTGAAGAAGATAGAAGTGAAAAGGAATTAGTCACGCTGGTCACAAGGTGACCGGACACTGGTCTCAGAGGGACCGGTACGTCCAGTCAAGTGTGGCAGTGAAGACGCCAGTGTCGGTCTCTGACCGGACGCTGGGTCTTGGACTGACCGGACGTTGAGGTCCAGAGTCC